CGCGATCACACCGGAGCAAAGGAAAAGGCAAGGGAAAGGCGAAGGCTCCGGTTGTAGAGGCAGAGTACGAGTGGACCTGTCCCGTTGGTGGATGTGGTCGTCTGCATCACAGCCTCTTCGTCAACGGGCGATGGACTATGGATGAAAAAAGAGGTGCCATCGCCGTCTTTGTGTGATGGTCATGAGCAGCTTTAACTTACGTATCGGTATTGTTGTATCCATCGCAGACGCTGTATTGTGTTGACTTGGAGCATTTGTGATATCCGTATCATGTTTTCACAGCAGTCCCAAGTATGTACGTACTGTACCTAATAAATGTGCTGCAAGTCATTACGCTGTCCAGGTGGGTCTTGTTCTTTTGTAGGCGATGGCCGTTAACGCTCCCTTCAGCCGATATGATAGTGAGCATCTCTTTCTAGACGGCTACAACCACCTCGAGCGTATTTACGCCTGCGCACATGCGACGAACACGAAGAAATGCTGCGTAGCCCGGAGGTTGTCTCGATAGCATAACGTGCCCATTGTCCTCGCCGCACAACCGGCCAAGCTTCCTTGCCAACATGACCCGGTTGTCTTCGCTGTTGGACATGCGTAACAGGCATGCTGTAAAAGACCTCGGCCTTCCGGAATTTTTGTGCCTCATGATCGATATGTCTGTGTTCGCTTCACTGATGGCCAGATAGTCACCCTGCAAAGCCATGTTTGCGTTTTGGACTGGTTCCCGCTGACCGTGCTTATATAGGCCTTCTCCTCGTGTAGGCCTACCTATTATTTCAGGTAAAGTATCAGTCCACGTATCTTCCTCCCGTCTGCGATCCCTCTGCCCTCCCAAAACACCCTATACCTCCAATGGACACCTGGGTAGACTCTTGTCCGGACCTATCAGAAACTCCGCGACGATATCTGCGACGAGAGTGGAAGAGAAACAAGCTAGTGAGTCGCAGATGGGACATCGATGCAATTTTTTTTTTTTTTTTTTTTTGAATGACTCTCCTTTATTCAGCACCTCGCCCCGTCGGATTCGCTCCCAGTCCTCCGTCTTTGTCCAAACCGACCTTTATTCGTATGTGATCGGTGTGGCTTTGCAAATACGTGGATTCCGCTTTGTTTCTGGTGCAAATGGACCTCCGCGGCAGCGACAGAGGCCTTTGAGAGAAACACACCTAGGCCACGCAGATTGAGCGCCCCTTCAAGGGTTGTACCAGCACCAAGAAATGTCAAGCGCGAGCCACCCAGGAGGATGTCTACAGCAACGATGTGCTCTAGCGTTGGGCCTGTGACTCCTCAGGGCGACGTTTCGTTCTCGTCTCACATGGGTGTCCCTGGCATTACGACAGTGTTGGGGTCTCAAGACGGTAAAACGTGTCTTCGTGAGCGGCACAAAGACAACAACAATGAAGGAACAGCGATCGAGAACGTGATCCATTTTACTGATCTCGCCTGCGACGCCAACGTTGGTGTCCACGATGTCGCCACAGCAACTATAATAACGGTATATCCCGCTTCTTGGGCCACTTGGGCCATATCTGCGTCGAAAGAAGAGCTGACCCTTTGCACTCAAATTGCGCAGCCATCATTCTCCACATTCGACTTCTCGGACGCCACCGCTCAAACCCACAAAGAAGAATACAAGTGCCATTCCGATAATCGCACTCTGGAGAAGAACGGTCCAAGGTCCCGTAGGAGACTTCCTGCCCTTTGCCTCTCGACACAACCAGGCTCAGACAATAAGGTCCACTGTGCGGGAGAGAGTGACTCACCAACAACACCCTCCGTAATGATAGAATCCTCAAGCTCTCCACGTGCCATAAATCACCTTTGTATGTCTAACGACTCACACATGCAGTCGACGCTCTCTATCTCTTCCTCACAATGCTCCCCAACGCGCACGTTGCGCAGGACGAAACCGATGGCGTTACTGAAACGCAAATCCTCGTTGTCACTCCACTCGCGCTCGCGCCCGTCGTCACCGTTGCGTGAGAGTATTGACATTGGCCCAACGTCAGCAGTAGAGGCCCGACAGTCGCATACGCTATCGTTTGCACTGTCGCAAGACCGTGAGACGCCACCAGTCCGGCTGGGCCACCCGAGCCGACCATACTACTCTGCAATACGCAAAAACATGTCACGGCCGAGTAGCCCAGCTCTTTCCGTCTCCACGCCACGGACGCCATCGCCTATTCCATCTCACCTAGACTATACGCCACGCGAAACGAAGTCTCTTGACGGGGGCGAGCGTTCCTTTGTGCACTATGCACGTCACCCGCGACCGATGTCGATGGATGGGCCGGGGCAAGGGATTCCAGTAAGCCCATACTCGGGGTTCTCGTTGAGCGGCGAGACGGAGATGCGGATGTATCTGGCTCGGTGGCGTCAGGAAGAAGCTCCAGACGAACCTGGGGACTATCTTTTCCGTGAGATGGGTCGGGGACGGGGGAGAGTCAATGTAAAGGGCAAGGTTAAGAAGTTCAGCAAAGGTCTAAAAGATCTCGTGTTTGGGAGATCTTGATGCGCATGTAGGATGGAGACATTGTAATTCGCCGTCGTGTTGGTGTATGTCCACGGTTGTAATTTTTGGGTGGATCTGGCCAGCTCGAGACCGACAGAAATTGAGTTCTCTTCGCACGTCCAGTTCGGTTGACAAGACAGAGGGTATTACCAGAACGTAGCCTTCGTTGCAGTAGAAATCGAGCGCAGAGACGAGGATGGTTCTGGTGCTGTCAAAAGGAGGACTTCCAACTCCGCTCGTGCGAGCCTCGTTCTGTAGTTCGCCAGTGCTCAGCGCGGCGACTTGGACTTTGCTTTTCGACCCTTGCCTGCACAGCCTAATTTCCCTCACACAAATACCCTGACCGCATTCCCTCTTTTCCTGTGACTTTTCTAGGTTTTTGCTCTATTTATCTTGCTCATGAATGGTCCCAAGATCCTCGATCGGGTGGACGCACGTCTTGGTACACTCGGTTCGCCTGGCAATGACCATCTTCAGCCGCCACAGCCGCGAATCGACTCCACTCGCGCTGCGAGTATGAGGACAGTCCTAAGTGTGCGTGTTCATTATTCCCATCATGGTAGACAGAGTTCCGTCTAATTCATATGCAGGAGCGCACCAACATCACCGCGGTAAACCACGATGGCCCCTCTCCGGAAATATCTGCCTGTTCGATTTAGTACGTTACCATTTCTAAGACCGGACGTTTCGCGCTGAGTACGCATTGTGTAGTTCACCCAATACGAGCCTTACCTTCGCCAGGACGAATCCGACAGCGAATCGCCCAAGGCGCACCAGCTCTAAGAGTAGACCGGGCACGGACACGAGCCTTCGCAACCGTCGTTACTCAGCTGCAGAACAAGCTCTCTCGGATGCCCTGCAGAGGCATAACGGGGAAGTTTCTCCTCGGGAACTGCAGATCCGGACACTGCGGCAAGCCAGCGCAGCCCTGAGTGCACGTGCCCTGCAATCCCAAGAGCGTGTGGCGAAGCTGAGATTACGTCTCGCGGACAGAGACGCCAGCCCGGATGTCTATTCTGCGATGCAGCGAGAACGCTGGATGGAGGAGAAGCGGCAGTCCATGGTAGATAGGCAGGTGAACGAGCTGACGCAGCATCTAGCGTCACTCCAGGCGAATCGCGACAGGGGCCGAAAAGGCGACTCGTCTGCTGCCCTCGGCAACGAGGCCAGACGGCGTGCTAATCTTGCTCGGTTTTTTGATAGCTCCCCCACGAGGACATCTTTTCGCCTCAACCTTAAGTGCAGGCTTGCTCTTGACCAGTCCTTCCCACGACGAATGACAATGAACGACGTCTCTCCCCTCCGCCTTCGGCCATCCTCCGTCACTCCTCCCTTGAGACGGTTGACTACAAAGCATGCTCGTCCGGTTTCGATGGGTAATGACCTCTTCAATCCAATAAAACGCCCGAGCAAACCTCGCATCGGTAACTCCCACTCTGAAGTGCCGCCATTCGTCAAGGGTGCAGAGAGCAGTAGCCCTAAGACCCAGTCGGTCTCTGAACGTTCCTCACAAAGCGGTTCATCTCGCTTAGCTGCCAATTCAGTCGCCAGCACCTCTGACGACAATGCATCTATCCGACCTCCCACACCGCCACTGTCCATTACATCGGAGGGCTCGTCATCCGTTCTTGCCGCTTCGGGGGATCGTGGGGGAATGGCGACTATTATAAGTCATGTCAGCCCCCGCACGCGCGCCGAAATACTCGCGGACTTTAATCAGGATGACGTCCATGTCCCGGATTATGCACTTAATCTACTCGGGAACCTCGATCTTATCCATGATAAGTTCTCGCTCCCGGATAGAGACCTGTTCGTCAAACCCAGAGAGATGAAGCCCATAGATGTAGCTCCACCTCCTGCAGAAACACCTCCGCCATCAGAGGAGTCAGATACAGGGCCGTATACTTCATTTGCACTCCCGCCGTTCGCAATGGAGCCCTCGTGGTCCCATATCTCCCTCACCTCACCACCATCACCTTCTACACCCCGTATGCAGCGCACTTCGCTGCAGCCGCTGAAATCCGGCTCCTCATCTCCCTCACGCTCAAGTACGCCCACAACACCGAGAACATCCACCAGGACTTCCACCAAGACCCCCCGCAACAGACAGTCGCTTCTGTTCTATATGCGGAAGCACAAGAGTGGGTTTGGAGAGGACAGTCCTGCATCGTCTATCTCTCGGATAGATCCTCTACCTGAGAACGCTACAGTGTCGAAGAAGAGGTTCTCGTTATTCTCCCGGAAGTAGATGGACTATACACAAGTTGGTATGGACACCTTTTCCTTTCTGGCATCTATTCACGACATTGGCAACGATCCGCTTAATACCGTCATGCGTTTGATCAATCTACTAGCACACTATATACTATCTTTCTTGTGGTGTCTCACTGGCCGGTAAAGACCGTTTCTAATCCCGCATTACCCCTTAGTCTTTGAGCGATGGAGGTTGCCTACATATTCAAACTACAACCAAAAAAAACAAAAAAGAATATGAGCTCGACCCGATTTGAACGGATGACCTTGTGGATATACCGAAAACTGGAATCACACGCGCTAGCCACTGCGCCACGAGCCCTACTCAGCTCAGCTTCTCGAGGTTCTTGTTGGCGCCCGTGAACGTTTGAACGTCTGTTCGATCCCGCACTGGTGCATTCTTTTAACGCCGTGTTCATTGACTCCAAGCATCGTCACTAACCACAGCGGGCTCCCTTCCTTCCTCATCCTTTCTGCAGACAGTGCTAAAGCCCCTTCAAGCAAGCGATTCCGAGCACAGCCCTGATTATACGCCTGAACATGAGGGCTGAGTAGTGACGGACAGCACCATTGTCATTGTGTTTTATCCTCCCGTGCTTTCTTGGTTTTTCCATTTCGTGCTCACCATCTGAACTGACCGTCGGTTAGGTTTACTCTAATTCCAGCATGTAATTGGTTGCGATAGTTGGTTAATGCGTATCAAGCAATCATGATCGATAGCAGCCTGCATATCGTTTAGGTGAGCCGTGGGCTGTCTTTGCCTGACCGCCTGCCTGGATAAACCACCATGTAGTACATACACTATTCATTCTAACCATATATTTCAGCAGCTCAATCGTTGTAACCGCGTGCTCTCGATGCACCCTTCTTTACCTGAGGAACTTCGACGCCCTGCTGCTTCCATATTTCTATCTGGCGATCCTTTGCAACCTTTCCGGTTCGTCGCTCGTAATCCTCGACGGACTCGGGTTTCTCGCCGTGGGGTGTAGCTCTCAGAGCGTGCCGAGTTTGTGGCCAGAAGTCAAAAGTGGCGGAGTGCGTCACTACCTGTCCGAGGATCGAGGACCATGAGCAACAAGCATCGAGGTCTAAAAGGAAAACTCATACCCTGTTGTCCCAGAACGCAATCGAGTTTGGCTCCCAGTGAAAGCGAACTTGGAAATCTACGTTTTCGCCGATTTGATGGAACAAAAAGTTCAAGATGGCGTCTGATTCAGCTTTGGGAACACCAATGATCCGACGCGTGAAGCCTGGGTTGACGTAGATGCTCTTCCAGCCCGTGACGGGGTGAACACGGACGACGGGGTGGACGGTCTCGATGGGTTGGCGGCGTACATGCAGACCCGCAGCACGTGAACCATCGGCTTGTGCAATTGCACTGTGGAGAGCCGTAAGGCCCTCCAAGTACGTTTGGAATCCGGGACTCAGGGATGAGTAGAGAGCATATCTAGACATCATCCGTCAGTCATCCGCAATCCGGTTGACGTAATAGCGATGAACGTACCCAGAGCTCCACAGGGTGTCTCCACCATATTCTGGACCAGTGATCACTTTCAGAGAGGTTGTGCTTGGCGGCTGGATCTCATATGTCACGTCGCTGTGCCAGAGCTCTATCTTGGAAAAGGCAGTTGGATCAGGGCGACGAGCCGCGTCGTTGTACACGACTGCAAAGGCATGAGAACGGTGTCTCCGCAAAAGTCTCCGTTCGTACTTACCATGAACCTCTTCGAGTCCAGGTTCTTTCGGGATCGGGGTCGTAGCATGCTTGTGAAGAGGACCAAAGTGCCTGGCGAGATCGAGTTGTTCGTGGACATTCAATTCTTGGTCTCTGAAGACTAATATAATGTCAGTTGGGGTGCTCATAATGTCAACTGACACACTCACATACGACACCCCTCTCAGCGACAAGGAGTGCGCTATGCGTTGCGTCAGTAAAGCAGACCACGAACTACTGCAGGACGCGTACAGTTCATCCTTTTGTGCGGGAGTAAGTTGCCTGAGATCGATGCCCGCAATCTCTGTGCCAATGGCGGGAGTGAGGTGTTTCACTTTATGAGCAGCGCTGAAGAGCGCCTCCTTCCCTGGATCGGCGAACAGACCACGGTCGATGACGTCCACCTCGCCGAGAGGTTCCCAGTCTAAAACGGGGAAGTGCGGCTGGAAATGTTCATCAACACAACTTGTACGAGTAGACACATAGTTTGCACTAACTCTGTATCCTGCGTACTTGTATCCGTCGTCCGCAGTGGACTCTGCCGTGGGGGAGTAGAACGGATTGAACAGTTTCGCTTCTCCAGCGGCCTCTTTTTTGAGCTCTGCGACACGATCTACATGACCATTTCCGTTTGTCTCGTTAGTTGCGACAGGAGCCATTGTGCACAGTGCGCTGAGATGAAGTTTTCGCTGAGATGGGGGGAATGAAGGTGATGATCATAACGACAACCCTTTTATACACGGAGACGTCACCCATTTTCTGGCCTTGCGACAGATGGAGGTGATATTGCGCAACTACCTCTTCGCCTGTTGGACATGTGAGGTGCGATTATTCTTGCTCACCTTCCTGTTTTGGATTGCGTTTTCTAAGCACGCGAAGATAGCTGAAATGGCGTATGTAGCGCTCGAATATCGGCGTGCAGTCATCATCTCAGATTTCGAGGATCTTGTATCCGATTGTCGGTGGCACTGAAACTTTCCAGTGATTCATCTTGAGAAATGGTGAAAGATTGAAACAAAACAGCACGTCATCAAGGCTTACCAGCACTGAGCAATTCCGGACGTTGCGCGGTCCTTTCGAAGTCAACCGAAGCTTTCATTTACCTGCGTCCAGAACGCCCTCGGGATAAGTATGACGACTGATTCACAAGCCTTTTCACCATGTGACTGCGGTGTGTGAGAGAACCGTCGTCTAGACCTCATACATACCTCTAGGAAGGCGAACAGAACGGGCGAACTTTGAACCAAGTAGCAGCCGGTTATTTTGCTGGAAGTTTCTCTGATCGAGCTGGATCTGGTGACGTGTTCTAGACAATGGCATTGGTATCCTCCGCGCAGAAAGCCATGACTCTAATCTACAAAACGTCGTTGAACGTGGTCAGTAAGATGCAAAACCGTCCCATGATTTGCGATTCTATGAAGCAGACTCGGAGACCAAAAACCCGACGAGACATCCATCTAGCATAAACTCCGCATTGACCCACGCATGCGTTAATGCTAAAACACGGCGATGTCAACAAAATTTCGCCAAAGTACAATCAAGATAAAGTCCGATATTCGGACGTCTCACCAAACAATTCCGTGCCATCCCGTCCTGCTACTCTCATCAGTTCCTTCTCACCTCCGGGGTGATACGGCAAGTATGGTGTGATGTTGTACACTTTGCCATAGATGGCAGTCCAGGCGTCATCCTTCTTATTATGTCGTTTGAGCACGGAAGGAGATACGCGCAGTAACGTGTCAACGCCCTGGACGAGTATGAACACACAAAAAGATAACCAAGCTCCAGCACGAAAGAACGTACCCGCAGGTCTTGTCCGGACGCCTTCAAGTTAGCCCAGTCCAGCGGACCGAACCCAGGTGCCAGCGCCACCTTCTTTGATGGCTTCTTCGGCTTTTCCGTCGTCGCCATCGGAGCGAGCAGGGATGATGAAGGAACAGCTACCCGTGTCTTTGGTTGTGGCACACCAGGTTGACGACTAGCTTTGTCGGCAAGGGGAGGTGGGGGCATCAGTGAGCTGTCAGTGAGTATGGATGGGATATTGGAAGGGGTTGAAGAACCACTGGCGCGTTGGGGGCTGTTAATGGCGGGAAATGCAGGCGGTATATCGTCTTCTCCCGCTGTTTCTGAACCATCGTCTTCGTCTTCTTCTATCAGAGATCCTGGGATCGACTGCGGTTTCGTACGGGCGTTGGCGGGTGCTGCAAGGCTGGTTGTGGCATCGAAAGAGAGCCAATTGCGCAGATACGACATTTGATTGTGCAATAAGTGTTGGTCGCTGAACCGACTCGTTGAATAACGACGGTGGTCGTTGCAATAACTTGCAAATGTTTGACCACTAGTGTACAAGGGCGAGAGGTTTACACCTTATAAGGGTTCTCACGACGACACAGGTATAGAAGTTATTACAACTACGAACATGTTTTACTAGTAATGACTCGCGCGTCCTCCACCTGCTCTTCAGTGGCCTTTTCATCCGAAGCCTGGGATCTACCTCCCGCCTCTTCATCTATAGCCCTTCTAAGATCTGCAACTGGTGTGGATCTGCGTCCACCAAGGAAAATACGGCCGCCAGGGGCATCCTCTAGCGACCTCACCACCAGGTCAGTCTCGAACAAGAACTTGATGTCTTCAAGCGCGTATCCCTTTGTCTCCGGAAGGAAGAAATATGCCCACGCAGCCATGATCACGCAGCAGAAGCCAAACAATAGGAAAGTCCCATATGTGATCTTCTCCAGCATGACCGGCGTCAGTCGCGAGATTGTGAAGGAGAATAGCCAGTTGACGCTAAGAGCCACTGACATTGCGGCGGTGCGCACATGATTCGGCGCGACTTCCCCAGCGACGACCCACGGGACGGGTCCCCAGCCAATGCAGTAAAAGACGGCGTAGAGGTAAACGGCAACAATGGAGACGTAACTGGCGGGAACGACCGTCGTTTGCGGGTGGACGGCGCTGTACCCTCCAATCCAGAGCATCATGAGACCCTGGCCCAAGCCTCCGATAATTAGGCACAATTTTCTGCCCATGCCCTCGACCGCAAACAAGAGCGTGGTACCGACAGATACCACTTTAACGACACCGTAGACGCCGGTGGCGAACAATCCAGCATTTACACCGGTTATCCCCAGACCCGCGAAGATTTGTGGGCTGAAGTAGTTAATAGCGTTGGTCCCTGTCCACTGTTGGAAGAACATGACGATGGATGGGGTAAGGCACCGTAACGCCGTGACACCCGATTCGCCCATCATACGGAACTGCTTCAGTATTGAGGTCTTCTCTTTTCCGGCAAGATCCGCCTTAATTTCGTCTAGGGTCAGGAGAACCCCTTCGTCGTCGACGGATTTACGCGCAGCGAATGCAAGTGCTCTGGCAGCTTCGTCGTATCGGCCCTGCTCAACTAGCCATCGCGGTGATTCGGGCTGGGGCAACATGAAAATGATGAACAAAAGGCCTGGGACGATCTGGATACCAAACGGCATTCGCCATTGCGCCTGTCCGAACGGAACGTGAAGGGCAGAACTGTAGTTCACCCAGACTATGGATTATGGATGAGTAACCACAGGAGTGCGAGTGGGGGAAAATCTTACAGCTCAACATAATGCCTA